GTGTGTCATCATTTAATGGAGCAAAGGTGGATTCGGTTATTTCATTGCTAAGTACAGAGCCGCGTTGATCTTCCTCGATGTTGGAGTTCCATAGTTGTGAATGTGCGTTGGCATCTCCGAGTACTAAGGCGTCCCCAGGTTCAAGTAGTTCGGCAAGGGACGCAGAGTAACCAGGGGGACAGCTCGAGCGAGGGGGGATGTAGAAATTATAAATACGAAGCTTGGATGAACTGGCTACCACTGATATGCCCATAGCCTCTAGTGTTCCATCGTTGTTAATATTTATTTCTTCGTATTGTATCGACTCATGTATGGCTATGAGAAGACCGCCCCCTTCTTTTTCTCGATCTTTTCTAATTAAAGTGTAGTGTGAGCCAAGTGAGGGGTTTCGAGATTTCTTTCTTAATTTAGTTTCTTGGAAGACAGCAATATGAATTTGATTTTGAGATAAGAAAGCAGCAATTTCGGGTGCTTTTCCGGAGATACCGTTGCAATTAAATTGAAGGATTTTTAAAAGGCCTTTGGCAGGGTGTGGTGAACTATTTACATTATTAACAGCAGTATGATTAAAATGGTTGTTTGAACTTGAGTTATTTACACTATTTACACGATTACGATTTGCGCGATTTTGGGAGGAGGAATTATTATTCGAGGAGGTGGGAAGGGTGGGAGGGGGAGGGGGGTTAGGGAGGTGGGGTTGGGGGGCGGTTAGGGAAGTTGAACAAGTTTGGGAGTTGGGGGTGGTCAAGTTAGAGGACCTGGTGCCTGGGGGAGGTAAAATGTAGGTAGAGGTACAGGTAGGGCAATAGTAGTCAAGGTGGTGTTGGTTAAGGTGGGTAAGACCACTACATTTAAGGTGAATGTAACCACAGATGTGGCACCAGACGCTGGGCTGGGTGCGTTTGATGCGGAAAGAGCAAGGGGAGCAAAAGTAAGGCCCTGGACCAGGGTTTGGATTAATGCCGGAGCGGAGTAGTAGTATAAGGATGAGCAGACGGAGCAGCCTGGCCGGCTTCAGACGCTCCGTAACCGAAAACCCGGAGACTTCGGAGCTTCTCCCGACCCAATGGGAGGGGGGGCTTGACGCCATTTGCATCTTGGTGGGGCCCAAGATGTCGGATCCACCACTGGAAGGCGGCGTCGTCTGGATCCATGCTTCTTGGTAGACGCAAGCGTAATTGCAATTGAAACATTAGATACTTCGCATGATCAAACCGAAAAAAAAAACAGAGCAAATCAATTCGTTGGTGATCCGATTAAGATAAAATTTACAACTCTCGGTATAGGAAAACGTGTCCAAATCTTTTGCTTCTAATAATTTACGGTATAAGAAGGTGCGAGTTTTCTTAAGCAGAAAATCTCCCTGGCAGAACAGATTGCGAATGCCGCTTGCGTACTTGGCACAAAAAGTGACAATCAACTTTCGACGAAACATTTTATTTGTAACACAATATATATTAGACAAGGAACTTAGCGGTGCACACTAGAAAAAAAAATTAGCGGGGCAGTTAAAACCTGCCACGGTGTGTCAAAATTTCAATATTTGCAAATTTAAAACTCAAACATAAAATTAACTGTTTGTTTTTTGCTTGATTATAAATCATCATTATACATTCTCCACTTTCTAAAAGGTCGCAAAACTCCTTTTCTGGTTGCTTAAGGTGGAATCGATATACTATTAGCCAAACTCTATTTGCATGAGAGAACAAATAAATTCATTCTCACGGTTTTCTGCAATAGCGAATATTAAAAAAAAACGTTTTTAGAAAAGGTATTCTAGTACATAATGATCATCAATTGAAAGAGAAACTTTTCGCAAACGTAAAATATTTCACATCCAAAATAGCAAAAAAAGTACAAAAAATTTTTTCAGAACCAATTTAAGTGGGAATCAAGCATAGTGTCGTACGGCAAACTATCTTGGAAATTATTAAAGCTCACATATATCAGGTCTTAGTGCTGTGCAAGGATACTAACTAGTGTCTTTGTCAAAAAATATTCCCTTTACACACTGCCTCTGAATTTTGAATAACATTTGTTAATATATATCAAATACAAGAAATTCAGCGTTCTTTTTAACCAGAAAAACATATATTCCGATTTTATAATGCTTCTTGGTAGACGCAAGCGTAATTGCAATTGAAACATTAGATACTTCGCATGATCAAACCAAACAAAAAAACCACAGCAAATCAAATCGTTGATGATCCGATTAAGATAAAATTTATAACTCTCGGTATAGAAAAACGTGTCCAAATCTTTTGCTTCTCCTAATAATTTACGGTATAAGAAGGTGCGAGTTTTCTTAAGCAGAGAATCTCCCTGGCAGAACAGATTGCGAATGCCGCTTGCGTACTTGGCACAAAAAGCGACAAATCAACTTTCGACGAAACATTTTATTTGTAACACAATATATATTACAGAGGAACTTAGCGGTGCACACTAGAAAAAAACTTAGCGGGGCAGTTAAAACCTGCCACGGTGTGTCAAAATTTCAATATTTGCAAGTTTAAAACTCAAACATAAAATTAACTGTTTGTTTTTTGCTTGATTATAAATCATCATTATACATTCTCCACTTTCTAAAAGGTCGCAAAACTCCTTTTCTGGTTGCTTAAGGTGGAATCGATATACTATTAGCCAAACTCTATTTGCATGAGAGAACAAATAAATTCATTCTCACGGTTTTCTGCAATAGCGAATATTAAAAAAAACGTTTTTAGAAAAGGTATTCTAGTACATAATGATCATCAATTGAAAGAGAAACTTTTCGCAAACGTAAAATATTTCACATCCAAAATAGCAAAAAAAGTACAAAAAATTTTTTCAGAACCAATTTAAGTGGGAATCAAGCATAGTGTCGTACGGCAAACTATCTTGGAAATTATTAAAGCTCACATAAATCAGGTCTTAGTGCTGTGCAAGGATACTAACTAGTGTCTTTGTCAAAAAATATTCCCTTTACACACTGCCTCTGAATTTTGAATAACATTTGTTAATATATATCAAATACAAGAAATTCAGCGTTCATTTTAACCAGAAAAACATATATTCCGATTTTATAATGCTTCTTGGTAGACGCAAGCGTAATTGCAATTGAAACATTAGATACTTCGCATGATCAAACCAAACAAAAAAACCACAGCAAATCAAATCGTTGGTGATCCGATTAAGATAAAATTTATAACTCTCGGTATAGAAAAACATGTCCAAATCTTTTGCTTCTCCTAATAATTTACGGTATAAGAAGGTGCGAGTTTTTTTAAGCAGAGAATCTCCCTGGCAATCAGATTGCGAATGCCGCTTGCGTACTTGGCACAAAAAGTGACAATCAACTTTCGACGAAACATTTTATTTGTAACACAATATATATTAGACAAGGAACTTAGCGGTGCACACTAGAAAAAAAACTTAGCGGGGCAGTTAAAACCTGCCACGGTGTGTCAAAATTTCAATATTCGCAAGTTTAAAACTCAAACATAAAATTAACTGCTTGTTTTTTGCTTGATTATAAATCATCATTATACATTCTCCACTTTCTAAAAGGTCGCAAAACTCCTTTTCTGGTTGCTTAAGGTGGAATCGATATACTATTAGCCAAACTCTATTTGCATGAGAGAACAAATAAATTCATTCTCACCGTTTTCTGCAATAGCGAATATTAAAAAAAAAAAACGTTTTTAGAAAAGGTATTCTAGTACATAATGATCGTCAATTGAAAGAGAAACTTTTCGCAAACGTAAAATATTTCACATCCAAAATAGCAAAAAAGTACAAAAAAAAATTTCAGAACCAATTTAAGTGGGAATCAAGCATAGTGTCGTACGGCAAACTATCTTGGAAATTATTAAAGCTCACATAAATCAGGTCTTAGTGCTGTGCAAGGATACTAACTATTGTCTTTGTCAAAAAAATATTCCCTTTACACACTGCCTCTGAACTTTGAATAACATTTGTTAATATCTATCAAATACAAGAAAATCAGCGCTTCATTTAGTAGACGCAAGCGTAATTGCAATTGAAATATTAGGTACTTCGCAGGATCAAACCGAACAAAAAAATCGCGGCAAATCGCTTCGTTGGTGATCGGAATCAAATATTATTTATAACTTCTGGTAATGAGAAAACGTTTCCGAATCTATTGCTTCTAATAACTTACGGTACAAGAATGGGCGAGTTTTCTTGAGCAGAACAGATTGCGAATGCCGCTTGCGTACTCGGCACAATAAATGACAAAACAACTTTCGACGAAATTTTTTATTTGTAACAATATATATGGAAAAAAGGTAAACTATAAAGGGGGCCCTTCCGTTTAGGTACGGTCGTGTACAAGCTGGATAGGGCCCATACCAGCATTATTTAAATACATCAAAAAACAATATTGCAGGAATTAAGTCAAGTCAGCATTTATTGCGTTGTCATTAAAGGTATTTACTTCAACCGCCCTCCTCTATAATAGCACTAATTAAATTGTCTCTGAATTGCGTCTTACGCAGTGATCTGCACCCCCCGTATATACAGGATAGCGCTCCTGAGCAGCGCGAAGGTTATATCAGTTCTTATATAGTTCATTGTTTTCTTTTACATTTTTTCGTGTCGAGTTGCGTGTTCTTATTGAAGAAACGTAACCCGTATCAAGTTTAATTTTAAACACATCAACACTAATCATCTCCTTTTAATCATTATCTTTTACTTATCTAGAAAATTTCGATGATTTTGACTTCATAGTGCGATGAAGGGACTCCTGACTGTAACCTCGGTTACTATGATACTTCCGACCTCCTAATTATATCAGAAAAAAAAGCAGAACAACTCCTTCATATGCTACTTGCGTTGAGCCAATCTCGCGTGCAGCGAATTTTTAAAAGTTACAACAGGTTGTCGTCTTACGAGCTGTCGTCTTATTTATCAGTGGATCAATTGAATTAAGAAAAAGGTCCGTTCCTCGAATGATACTTGACCTGTCTCGTGAAAATAAATCGAGATTTGGATTGACGTACTTTAGCGTTGACCTCTGTTATTGTATGTCGCAGGTTGATAGATTTCGGATTTGACAGATCTGCATCAGTCCGCAAGGAGGATTTCAACCGAACTTCGGCTTTATATCTTTCAGGTGTGATTTTATAAAACTTTGCAGCAGTATCCAGAAACTCGAGTTCACCGTCACTGTAACTTTGTGAGCCTAGTGACTGCACAATGGCTGCAAACGCTTTAAACTCGTTTTGCCTATTGGATTCAAAACCATCCATTTGCTATTTCAGTTTGAAATGAACGAAAAAGCCAAATGACAAGAAAGACAACCAGCGGACGAACTCGTGAAAAGTGACAGTTTTTTCAACTGTACTCATTTTGAATCTGAAAATAACCAAGGCTGACGAAGATTCCGTTTTACCTTGACACGAGATCAACAACGGGGTTTTCCCATAACAGTCTCTCAGCCCCCACCCCTCCCCTCCCCCAGTTTGTTAATCGTCAATAGACTCTGAAACAATTGTTGTGCTTTCAAAAATAAGTTTATTCATACAAAAATGTATGCAAACTTTGTTAGTCCTGAGCTGCATAAAAATACGAATTATGTACTATTTTCATATGCAGGTTTTCTTGTTTTATCGACTTTTTCTATTGGGGTGGGGGCCTTAAGTAACTGAGGGAGGAGATATAATGGAATCAAAACGCAAAATCATACAAAGCAACAATGGTTACATTTCACCATACTTATAAAAAAATGTACATTTGATGAGCAATTTGAAGGTAAATCAAATAGTCAAGTGTGCCAGTCGGCCATATCAGAGCGTTTGTTTTTGGTTTGAAATGAATATATCAAATTTTTGAATTTGCCCTGGGATGCTCAAATTTTCGCAGCAACTGAAAGGAAAAAACATCAATCAGAACAGCCGAATTGACATTTCCTGTAACCGCGCTAGAAACCTTTAATCAAATTGATATTCGTAATTTGCCTAATAACAATACTAGAGCAGTTGTCTTTTTCCGGATAGAGAGTTCAACGACTGGGTACGACAGTTCAGATAGGAAGTCAATAGTTGCTTGCTCAATTGAACCACTATTAGCCTAATTGTTGTGATAAACTTATTAAATAGCATATGCGCGCTGGGCTTTCCTCTTCTGATTATCTAACCAAATCTCGCCGTCCCATCCGTAGGCGAGTGGAGCTTCTCTGGCGTATTGTGCCAGTCGGTCATATTTGAACGTTTGACCCTGAGCAATACGAACAACGTAATTTTGGGGTGAAATGGAATTTTCCCATAACAGTCTCTCAGCCCCCACCCCTCCCCTCCCCCAGTTCGTTAATCGTCAAAAGACTCTGAAACAATTGTTGTGCTTTCAAAAAAAAGTTTATTCATACAAAAATGTATCCAAACTTTGTTGGTCCTGAGCTGCATAAAAATACGAATTATGTACTATTTTCATATGCAGGTTTTTTTGTTTTATCGACTTTGTCTATTGGGGTGGGGGCCATAAGTAACTGAGGGAGGAGATATAATGGAATCAAAACGCAAAATCATACAAAGCAACAATGGTTACATTTCAACATACTTATAAACAAATGTACATTTGATAAGCAATTTGAAGGTAAATCAAATAGTCAAGTGTGCCAGTCGGCCATATCAGAGCGTTTGTTTTTGGTTTGAAATGAATATATCAAATTTTTGAATTTGCCCTGGGATGCTCACATTTTCGCAGCAACTGAAAGGAAAAAACATCAATCAGAACAGCCGAATTGACATTTCCTGTAACCGCGCTAGAAACCTTTACTCAAATTGATATTCGTAATTTGCCTAAGAACAATACTAGAGCAGTTGTCTTTTTCCGGATAGAGAGTTCAACGACTGGGTACGACAGTTCAGATAGGAAGTCAATAGTTGCTTGCTCAATTGAACCACTATTAGCCTAATTGTTGTGATAAACTTATTAAATAGCATATGCGCGCTGGGCTTTCCTCTTCTGATTATCTAACCAAATCTCGCCGTCCCATCCGTAGGGGAGTGGAGCTTCTCTGGCGTATTGTGCCAGTCGGTCATATTTGAACGTTTGACCCTGAGCAATACGAACAACGTAATTTTTGGGTGAAATGGAATTTTCCCATAACAGTCTCTCAGCCCCTACCCCTCCCCTCCCCCAGTTTGTTAATCGTCAATAGACTCTGAAACAATTGTTGTGCTTTCAAAAATAAGTTTATTCATACAAAAATGTATCCAAACTTTGTTAGTCCTGAGCTGCATAAAAATACGAATTATGTACTATTTTCATATGCAGGTTTTCTTGTTTTATCGACTTTGTCTTTTGGGGTGGGGGCCATAAGTAACTGAGGGAGGAGATATAATGGAATCAAAACGCAAAATAAAGCAAAGCAACAATGGTTACATTTCACCATACTTATAAACAAATGTACATTTGATAAGCAATTTGAAGGTAAATCAAATAGTCAAGTGTGCCAGTCGGCCATATCAGAGTGTTTGTTTTTGGTTTGAAATGAATATATCAAATTTTTGAATTTGCCCTGGGATGCTCACATTTTCGCAGCAACTGAAAGGAAAACACATCAATCAGAACAGCCGAATTGACATTTCCTGTAACCGCGCTAGAAACCTTTAATCAAATTGATATTCGTAATTTGCCTAAGAACAAGACTAGAGCATTTGTCTTTTTCCGGATAGAGAGTTCAACGACTGGGTACGACAGTTCAGATAGGAAGTCAATAGTTGCTTGCTCAATTGAACCACTATTAGCCTAATTGTTGTGATAAACTTATTAAATAGCATATGCGCGCTGGGCTTTCCTCTTCTGATTATCTAACCAAATCTCGCCGTCCCATCCGTAGGCGAGTGGAGCTTCTCTGGCGTATTGTGCCAGTCGGTCATATTTGAACGTTTGACCCTGAGCAATACGAACAACGTAACTTTGGGGTGAAATAGAATTTTCTCATAACAGTCTCTCAGCCCCCACCCCTCCCTTCCCCCAGTTTGTTAATCGTCAATAGACTCTGAAACAATTGTCGTGCTTTCAAAAATAAGTTTATTCATACAAAAATGTATCCAAACTTTGTTAGTCCTGAGCTGCATAAAAATACGAATTATGTACTATTTTCATATGCAGGTTTTCTTGTTTTATCGACTTTGTCTCTTGGGGTGGGTGCCATAAGTAACTGAGGGAGGAGATATAATGGAATCAAAACGCAAAATCATACAAAGCAACAATGGTTACATTTCACCATACTTATAAACAAATGTACATTTGATAAGCAATTTGAAGGTAAATCAAATAGTCAAGTGTGCCAGTCGGCCATATCAGAGCGTTTGTTTTTGGTTTGAAATGAATATAGCAAATTTTTGAATTTGCCCTGGGATGCTAACATTTTCGCAGCAACTGAAAGGAAAAAACATCAATCAGAACAGCCGAATTGACATTTCCTGTAACCGCGCTAGAAACCTTTACTCAAATTGATATTCGTAATTTGCCTAAGAACAATACTAGAGCAGTTGTCTTTTTCCGGATAGAGAGTTCAACGACTGGGTACGACAGTTCAGATAGGAAGTCAATAGTTGCTTGCTCAATTGAACCACTATTAGCCTAATTGTTGTGATAAACTTATTAAATAGCATATGCGCGCTGGGCGTTCCTCTTCTGATTATCTAACCAAATCTCGCCGTCCCATCCGTAGGGGAGTGGAGCTTCTCTGGCGTATTGTGCCAGTCGGTCATATTTGAACGTTTGACCCTGAGCAATACGAACAACGTAATTTTTGGGTGAAATGGAATTTTCCCATAACAGTCTCTCAGCCCCTACCCCTCCCCTCCCCCAGTTTGTTAATCGTCAATAGACTCTGAAACAATTGTTGTGCTTTCAAAAATAAGTTTATTCATACAAAAATGTATCCAAACTTTGTTAGTCCTGAGCTGCATAAAAATACGAATTATGTACTATTTTCATATGCAGGTTTTCTTGTTTTATCGACTTTGTCTTTTGGGGTGGGGGCCATAAGTAACTGAGGGAGGAGATATAATGGAATCAAAACGCAAAATAAAACAAAGCAACAATGGTTACATTTCACCATACTTATAAACAAATGTACATTTGATAAGCAATTTGAAGGTAAATCAAATAGTCAAGTGTGCCAGTCGGCCATATCAGAGCGTTTGTTTTTGGTTTGAAATGATTATATCAAATTTTTGAATTTGCCCTGGGATGCTCACATTTTCGCAGCAACTGAAAGGAAAAAACATCAATCAGAACAGCCGAATTGACATTTCCTGTAACCGCGCTAGAAACCTTTAATCAAATTGATATTCGTAATTTGCCTAAGAACAAGACTAGAGCATTTGTCTTTTTCCGGATAGAGAGTTCAACGACTGGGTACGACAGTTCAGATAGGAAGTCAATAGTTGCTTGCTCAATTGAACCACTATTAGCCTAATTGTTGTGATAAACTTATTAAATAGCATATGCGCGCTGGGCTTTCCTCTTCTGATTATCTAACCAAATCTCGCCGTCCCATCCGTAGGCGAGTGGAGCTTCTCTGGCGTATTGTGCCAGTCGGTCATATTTGAACGTTTGACCCTGAGCAATACGAACAACGTAACTTTGGGGTGAAATAGAATTTTCTCATAACAGTCTCTCAGCCCCCACCCCTCCCTTCCCCCAGTTTGTTAATCGTCAATAGACTCTGAAACAATTGTCGTGCTTTCAAAAATAAAGTTATTCATACTAAAATGTATCCAAACTTTGTTAGTCCTGAGCTGCATAAAAATACGAATTATGTACTATTTTCATATGCAGGTTTTCTTGTTTTATCGACTTTGTCTCTTGGGGTGGGTGCCATAAGTAACTGAGGGAGGAGATATAATGGAATCAAAACGCAAAATCATACAAAGCAACAATGGTTACATTTCACCATACTTATAAACAAATGTACATTTGATAAGCAATTTGAAGGTAAATCAAATAGTCAAGTGTGCCAGTCGGCCATATCAGAGCGTTTGTTTTTGGTTTGAAATGAATATTGCAAATTTTGGATTTTGCCCTGGGATGCTAACATTTTCGCAGCAACTGAAAGGAAAAAACATCAATCAGAACAGCCGAATTGACATTTCCTGTAACCGCGCTAGAAACCTTTAGTCAAATTGATATTCGTAATTTGCCTAATAACAATACTAGAGCAGTTGTCTTTTTCCGGATAGAGAGTTCAACGACTGGGTACGACAGTTCAGATAGGAAGTCAATAGTTGCTTGCTCAATTGAACCACTATTAGCCTAATTGTTGTGATAAACTTATTAAATAGCATATGCGCGCTGTGCTTTCTTCTTCTGATTATCTAACCAAATCTCGCCGTCCCATCCGTAGGCGAGTGGAGCTTCTCTGGCGTATTGTGCCAATCGGTCATATTTGAACGTTTGACCCTGAGCAATACGAACAACATAATTTTGGAGTGAAATGGAATTTTTCAAAAATTCGAATTAAGCCTGTCATGCTCAACTTTCTCGCCACAACTGAAAAACTCAGAAATACAAGATTAGAACAACCTAATTACAATTGCGGGAAAGTAATCAAAAAAAGCAGCGGGAAATTGCTACTCGGAATTTCCAGACATAAAAATCACACAAGAGTAGAGCTGTCCTATCCTGAATAGGAGGCAGAGCGATTGCGAACAAAGCAGACACAAGTAAGAAGTGGACCAGAGTGAACCTTCAGTGGAACGGTGGACAGCTGGGGTCTCCCAATGGTCCAGCTAAAAAACTCAATTCTCAAGTCAAAACTCATTTCCCTTGCTGGAATTAATTAATTACAAACTTCTTGAGTTAAAACTTAATTACCTTAATGCTAGAGATACTGATCAATTTAGTTACTCCAATTCTCGAGTGTGCTGGTATTAGTTTTTTTGAGTGTGTTTTATAATTGTTATGTTGAGGTAAGGAGAGTTTTAGGTCGATCCATCTGAAATGGATCAAAAATCCACTGTCTAATGAAAAGTAACTATACGGACTGTTCCGACCCTGTTTTTAACGGCGTTCGCGTATTTTAGGTATTTTGAGACCTAAGTATGGGAACGTTCTTATTTTCTATAGTGAAGGGGTGTTTTGGTAGTGGCCTTTAAGATGTAACGAGGGTTTTAGTCTCATGTCGCAAGTGAACCGAATTTGCTCCGACCGTTCGAGTTGGAAAAACACAGGAGATAGTGTCCCTGACTCTCGAACCAATGGTTATAGGGCCTATTTTTTTCTTTCACCTTATATGTGACTTAAGAAGGCGACTGTTACATAGTGTTTTTATGGCGCTCCTGGGTGTTTTTACGACATCATGACTACGGAGTCGAACCCACTTGACACAGCTCCGGGCTACATGCCCATTCTAGAGTACCGGTGGTTTGGTTCAGCGGGAACGTGTAAACCTTACGGTCGTATCGTGATAGCTTTTTAAGAAAACTCGAGAAAACTTCCTGGTACGCTCTCCGAACGAGGCCTATCTAACCGAGTAAGGGGGGTAACTAGGGGGTTAAAAAAACGAGCAAAAAGACAAAAAGCGAAACAAACACCGAAAAAGAATAGAAAAAGGAACAAAAACCATAAAACAAAAAAATGACAGTGACTTTGACACCAGATTAGTTCGATCAAACCCTTATATTAATTAATTAGTATACCCATACTGTTTTCATAAGGCCGATCGTTTCGAGCGTTTCAGCAATTCAAAAAGGTGCCTGAGTGTGGGGCGTTGTCAAAGGTTTTCAGATAGCTTGCAACTTAGCTGGACCACTGGGAGACTTGACTAGAAAAGGTGACCAGCCAAGTAGGAAAGTGGTTCACAAGAAGGGAACCCAACAAGTATTGGACACGACAAGGGGACATCCAGCACCGACGGGACGGAATAGAGAAGGCACACAGGGGTGTTTTGTTTGGTCAATCGACGGACCACTGGGAGACTGGACTGGAACAGGTGACCAGCCAAGTGGGAAAGTTGTGCTGGTGAGAGGTGCTGGACAAGCCAATGAGACAACCAGCACGGAATCAGAACAACCAGAGGAGGACACACAGAGGTGTTCTGGTTGGTCAATCGGGTATCGTTAGAATCCACATTACATTAAAGGAGATAAGTGTAAAGTTGGATCAGCGGAACCCCACTGTTTTGAGGAACGTTTTTACTTGAGCAGAGCTTGGAAACAGGTTCTACGGTTTTCTCGAGAGGTTTAGCACCCAGCGCTTAAGGTAATTTTCGGCTTAAGAGGGGGGCTAAATAGGGGGGAGGTTAGAAGGGGGGCTGGTTAGGTTAGACGTTGGCGGTTGTTAATTGTAAAAGGGGGGGACACGTTATAGTAACTAATCAATCGATATCGTCGATTTAGTTACATTATAATCTTACACGCGTGAATTACAAAGAGAAGATATCCAAATTTAAGATCGAATTAAGGTAGGTACCCTGGTCGGATCGTTTGGGGGGAACAAAAATAGACAGTTTTTGTAACCCGGAACGAAATTAACCCATAAGAACGGTTGGAGGGGCGAGGAAAACGCGTAACAATCAGGTACCAGACATTTTTTTACAAAATTACGACATTGGTCATCTTTGATTTTAGGTGGGTTCAGCTTTCTGTTTTTATCATTTTTCTTTTCTTGTTTGAGTTTTTACGTTTTCGGTACTAACTTTATCGGTTTTTGAACGAACAGGTGATCAAAACACACGTGCGAACAAGTTGGATTCTAACTTTCATCAGATTAATGAAGGAAGATAAATAGAGGGGGGTTAATATTTAAAAATTTTGGCCAGTAAGCTCGGGTTTTGCGGAAATTTTTGTACTAGAGCTCAAGTGGTGGTACCAGAGATAGTGGTTCAAGAGTCCCAACAACGAAGAAGAAGAAATCAGATTTACCCAACACTAAGAAAGAAGGGGTCTTGGGACAGTGTAAAGTGTCCCAACACTTGAATGGCGAAGTCCTGGGACAGAACCAAGAAGTCTTGGGACAGTTCAGAAAAGTCTTGGGACAGTACCAAGAAGTCTTGGGACAGTACAGGAAAGTCTTGGGAAAGTACCGAAGAGTCTTGGGACAATACAGAAAAGTCTTGGGACAGAACCAGGAAGTCTTGGGACAGTGCAGAAAAGTCTTGGGAAGTACCAGGAAGTCCTGGGACAGTACAGGAAAGTCTTGGGACAGTACAGAAAAGTCTTGGGACAGTACAGAAAAGTCTTGGGACAGTACCAAGAAGACTTGGGACAGTGCGGGAAAGTCTTGGGACAGTACTGAAAAGTCTTGGGACAGTACAGAAAAGTCTTGGGACAGTACAGAAAAGTCTTGGGACAGTACCGAAAAGTCTCGGGACAGTACAGAAAAGTCTTGGGAAAGTACGAAGAAGTCTCGGAAGAGTACGAAGAAGCCTTGGGATAGTACTCAGAGGTCTTGGGACAGTGCGAAGTGTCCCAACATTAGAGCGAAAAGGTGAGGTAGCCCAACACTCTTGGGACAAAGGCGAGGTAGTCTTGGGACAAGGCGAGGTAGCCCAACACTTGAGTGATAGGTCTTGGGACAGTGTGAAATATCCCAACATTTAAGTAAGAGTACAAAGGACCGGTCAGAATGATTAAATCACAAAAAATCCGCTCTATTTAGATCACGAATTGAAAGATTTTTATTAAGAGAATTAGGAATTTTTTTTAGAATTTTTATTCTTAGAATTTTTATCCTTAGAATAGAATTTTGTAAATATTAATATTGTAAATAGAGAAAACTGTAAGTAAGAATCATGAGGCAAAGTAGGGTACCGATAGCAGAAAAAAGAGTTCTAGAGTCAAAGACAAATCATAACTCGTCGCAACTGAAAGCAATGCCATCGGACCAAAAAGTAATGAGAAAGAACTTTTCAGTGAGCATGGTCAACACAAGAAGCGCAAAGGAGAGCAAGACGAAAGTAAGCGCTAAGGAGGGACGAACGGTACCTGCTATAGAAATTGATCTTGAGACACCAGATCAGAGTGTTGATGGGGTGGAAAGGGATACAACGGAGTCAAAACCGATGCCGAATGTGGAAGAACGAGAAAAGAAGACGATAGAGTTCTCGCCGATTGACATTGTAGATGATACAACAAGCAACACGACACGCCGGTAACGATAAAGGATGACTCTCAAACGAAAAGAGGGTCGTTCACAGAGAAGATCGCAATGATGGTCGGAATGAAACCAAGAGAGAAGGAGGAAATGTAACAACGAACGAGAAAGGCAAGACGTTTGGCACGGTTTCTGCAGTAAGAACAGAGTACAATCGAGATGATGATCAGGTCGAACTTGTAGCAACAGCTAGCCATGAAGCAACAGTTAAAAATGGGCAACAGCTAACCAAGAGAAAACAACTTTTCTTGAACTGGGCGACTTGATGGCGAAGTTGGAACAAATCGACAAAAAACTGAAATGCAGTGACGAGGATCGACAAATGCTAAAAAAGGAATTACGATACAAAAAGAACGAGAGCCTGGACAATTGCTTCAAACTGGCAAAGGAACCTGAAGAGAGGCTACAGCAAATGTCAGACAAGGTAGAGGCTACCGACAAGGAGAGAGAGAAAAATATCAAAAAAGACATGCAAGAAATGAAGCAACGCAACGGCACGACACTGTGAACAGTAAGTTAGGGAGTCTGGAGATGAGAAAAGACACAATGAGCAGAGACCAGGCTGAGAGTTCATGTGCCATACAGTCCAAACTGGGTGCCATCGTGAGAATCTCTACATCACATGACAAGCTGGTAACAGATCGAACGCAAGGCAACAGATTCGATTTCGTGGAATCACAACGGAACAAGCGGTAGTCCACACCATTACCGTTACCCCGGGGTGCAGCGAGCATAGGAACAGGGGGGGGCAAAGACAATTATGAAGAGTGGAACCTCAAATACGATAAATGTCCCAGGGGATTCCACAACAATATGGGACCCGATGCCATGACGTGGGCTAGCACCTGGGAAATGATGAATAGGACATTGGAAGCGTTCGCTACAAGAAACACTGACTCGAGTGAAAAAGGAGGTGGCAAAACCAGGATAACCTTCAAGAAGCCAAAAGAATTTAAGGACGACTCAGATGGATGCATCGACACATCGGTAGAAGTCATGAGACTACATTTGGAACAAGACAACTTGAATGACGAGAGACAGGCCAGCACAGCGATACTCAGCAACTTAGAAGGAAGGCACGGCGTTAAAATGTGTAGTTTCAAAGAAGGAAGAGGAACGTGATACTGCAGACAAAATCTTCGAGATATTGTTGAACCGATTCGGATCAGGAATGAAGGGTCACCAAG